GAATTGGACCTCAGCAACATTAAAAACCGTTGCTTGTCAAAACATCATTTAAAAAGATGCAGACTGGGAGAAAATATTTGCAATCCCATCAAAGGACTTGTATCCATGGTAAATAAAGGACTGGTACAATGAATAAGAAGATAACATATTTTTTAAATGGCCAAAATATTTTAATAGATACTTCATGAAAGATAATACTAGTATGTACAATGGAAAAATGCCTTCATCAGAGAAGTGCAAATTAAAACCACAATTTAATATCCTTCACCTACTAGAATGGCAAAACATTCAAAAACTGATAATACCAAGTGCTGGAGAGGTAGTGGAACAGGAACACAGTCATACATTGGTTGTTGGGAGTATATAATAGTATCACTTTGAAAAAGTTTGGTAGTTTCTTTAAGGTTAAACATAGACTTACTGATGGCCCAGAAATTCCACTCCTAGATATTTACTGAAAAGAAAGAAGACTTGTACAGGACTGTTCAGAGTGCTTTATTTTTACTAGCGCCAAACTGCAAACAACCCAAGTATCCACCTCCAGGTTCATAGATAAACATTGTGGTTTACAGTGGAATACTCAGAAGTGAAAAATGAATGACTTCTACATACAATATAGATTAATCATAAAATCTTGCTAAGCCAAAGAAGGCAGACACAAAATAGGTACTTTGTAATTCCATTTATATGAAATTAAGCAACAGGCACAACTACTCTCTAGGAACAGAAAGCAGATCACTGGTTGACTGGGTCTAGGCATGGCAATAGGAAACTGACTACAAAGGAACAGAAGGGAACTTTTCAGCATAGAAGAAACATCCTGTATTATTGTGGTTGTGGTTAGATGGGTATGTACATTTTTCAAAACTTGTGTCAAAACTTAAAACAGGTGCATTTTTACTGTATATAAAATATACCTCTATAAGTTGATTTTTAAAGTAAGATGAAGTATTCACTCTTTTCCCCCATACCAAAAATAATTATATTTTTAAAAGGAGGAGTAATTGCAAACATAATTTTTTGTACCGGTAAACTGAGCATGGGTTGAGCATCCCTAAGCTGAATATATGAAATCCAATATGCTCCAAAATCTGAAACTTTTTGAGTGCCTGTGTGATGCCACAAGTGGAAAATTCCACATATGACTTCACATGACAAGTCATAGTCAAAACACAGTCAAAACTTTGTTCCGTGGACAAATTATAAATATTGTATAAAATTACCTTCAGGCTATGTGTATAAGGTATATATGAAACATAAATGGATTTCATGTTTAGACTGGGTCTCTTCCCCTGGATATCTCATGTATATGCAAATATTCCAAAATCTAAATATCTGAAACCTGAAACACTTCTGGTCTCTAGCATTTCAGATAAGAGATACTCAACCTGTAATTTATAGAGGTGGATCAGCAAAGGTGACTGCTTTGATTTTAAATGATCTGTACTTGGAGGTTTTCTTGTTTATAGAGATCTTGTTAGATTAAAGGTAACATCAGTGATACAGCTGTTTCCTTGATTTGTGTACTTTACATCAAGTGTTAAGTCTGTGAGATGTAGGCATTATCCCTTTACTGTAAATGGATGCATGGTCATTAACGTGTATGGATTTCAGATAACGAGGAGTTAGCATGTCTCATATTTGAACCTATTTCTTTTTTCTTGACTAAATATCAAATTTAGTACTTCACAGGTTATTTTAAGTATCAAATGAAAGGCTCCTGGTGATATGGTCTAGGTTTTTTTTTTTTTTAGAAGATTACTTTCTGTAGTTGTTAATTATATTACTCCACCGATGGTTGGGCCTGTTGGCTCACGCCTGTAATCCCACCACCTTGGGAGGCCAAAGTGGGTGGGTTGCTTGAGGTCAGGAGTTCAAGACCAGCCTGGCCAATGTGGTGAAACCCTGTCTCTACTAAAATAGAAAAATTAGCTGGGTGTAGTGGTGGGTACCTCTAATCCCAGCTACTTGGAAGGCTGAGGCAGAATTGCTTGAACCCAGGAGGTGGAAGTTACAGTGAGCTGAGATCGCGCCACTGCACTCCAGCCTGGGTGACAGAGCAAGACTCCGTTTCAAAAAGAAAAAAAAAAATTACTCCAGAGATGATACTTCATCGTACATCGCTAATTTGAAAGAAACTCAAGTCATAACTGCTACAGAAGTGACCTAGCTAATGGCAGTTATCATTGTGCTTTCAGAGAATTTCTACTTACAAGTATTTAACCACCAGCAAATATTTGAGTTCCACTTTTGGTTTAGGTACTGTAAATCATTAAAATCATCTTTTAAAAAGCATATGGATATAAAAGTAAATACTGTATAAAAAACTAAAAACTTTGTGAAACATAAATATAAAAGACAGCAGATTGGGAAAAGTATTTGTGATAAATGTATTAATCCTGTCTGTATTATAGAAGAAATACACGTAGATAGCACAATTGAGATCCCAAAGACTAATATATGCAAAAGTAGGCACAGACTATTCACTGGATATTAAATGCAATCAGAAAACACACAGAATATTCTACACTGCCAACAATCAAATAAATGCACAGAAAAATATTACCAAGGTATTAAATTAGTTATTATTTACAAAAATAAAAAACATTCATCCAAGCCTTACAACCATTTGTCAGGATGTACTCCCAAAGAATAAAATAGTTAAATGTAAAAGAAGAAACCATTAGACCTTTCTAACAAAGACTCAGAATTCAGAAGACGTGAAAGCAAAGGCTGATAAGAGAAATGAAAAACTGGGGATATTTGCTCTTTGTACCACAAAGGGCTAATCTCACTAGTATTTAAAGAGTGCTTATGAAATGAAGGGAGAAAAAGAGATTAACCCAGTAGCCAAATGGCAAAAGACATGCAAAAATATATCACAGAGAAGGAACTAAACACCTCTTAAACATGAAAAGAGATTCAGCCTCACTCATAAGACAAAGGTATCATTTTTCGCCAAGCATATTGGCAAAAATCTATTAGGTTGGTGCAAAAGTAATTGTGGTTTTTGCCATTAAATTTATTTTGCAGCAAAAACTGCAGTTATTTTTGCACCAAACTGTAATGTAATAAAAGTCATTAACACTCAAAAAAGTAAAATCATGGCATTACTGTCTATTGGTTTATTCTGATATAAAATAGTAAAAACTGACAGAAAAGGCAAGCAGGTTAAAAATAATAATAAAGGTTATAATGTAGGGCCCCAAGCAAGGCTGACTTTATATGTTAGGAGCTGGAAACAATCAGGTTAGTATGGGCAGGCAAGTTTAGGGAAAGCTTTATGAGAAGATGGAATGTATAAACCACGGATCCTGGTTTACCGTCAATGGGATGGTCAGACAAAGATATCCCTAGATTGTTGGTATGTTGCCTTATTAGTTTGGAGAATGTTTTTCTTTTACTTTTACTGGTGTCCATAACTACATGGTTTTATTTATTCATTTACATTACCTGTTTTTAGAACTCAGGAAAAAATACATTTTAGGGAGAAACCATGGACATTTAAACATGAAAGATGTTCACCTTATAGCTTCATCAAAGTAACGCTTCAGAATGTTTATTACATATGGCTTTTCCAAATTCACTATTTTGTTCCTTTTTTGATGACTGTGATGTACACACTTTTCTACTAGAGCAGTCTTATGCTTCATTGCACATATGTCTATTTTATTAGATAGCAAAGAAGTGGCCTTGCTATTGGCCCTTGGACAAACTAGTTCCAGTAATAATAATAAAAGTGAATGATCATATATTTTCTGACATTCTTTCAGTAAACTTATGTCCTTTTTCTACAAATAGATTTAACATTTAAATGTATCTAAATGCAGAGTTAATTTGGAGGTTTTTGGCAAATATTTGTACGTAAGACCTTCCAGAATCTTAAAATTGCTTATGTAAGTGAAATTCAAATTTTACATTCCTGTATACATTTACTTTTCAAGAAAGTAATTTGTGATTAAAAAAAGAATTGCATTATCTCTTACTAAACCCGGTAGTGATATTTTTCTTCATAAAAGGTTTACAAGTAAAACCAGTCAAATTAGTGAAAATAAATTCCTTCCCCATATATAGATCATTTTGGTCTGGTCAATAATTCAACTGTCTTAGGTAACAAAACTGTAAAATAAAAACTTTTAAAAAGCAATTTTAAAGATTGTTTCTGGAAAGTAAGTTTTTTAGTTTACATTGAACAGATAGTAATAGGCAAATGTCTCATATTGCAGGCGGCTTTAAAAAAAAAAAGCAACATATTCTGTTCTAAATATGATTGTCACTGAGTAGAAATCTTGTAATTTACCAGTTTATACATAGAACATTATAGGCGATAGTCTTTTCATTTAGGAGAAGGTCACCATCATTAATTTTACAACTGATGATTTTATAATAGGTCCTTCTGGTTCTTCATGGTCATTATTGAAGTATAATGCATTGAAGATATGGCCTGTACAAAGGCAGAACAGGGATCTTAATTAGAATTCTGACAAGCCCACTCCAATAAAATGATGAGATTATTTGTAATTGATGTCACAATCAATTACCATTTAGTTCATCATGAGCATTCTAATAGGTCTGGCCTTGGTATTGGCCCCAGGATGTTGCTGAGTGAGTGGCTGCCCTGCTTATGCTGTTATTGAGACATAAGGGCACATTTTCAGTCAGCATCCTAATGACCTCTTTTGAAGTCTATTAAATTAATGACCCTGTCACACTGTTTTGATCTCTTATAACCTCAGTTTGGGGTTTGTATAACAAATTAATATTTGGGAACCATATGATGAAAAAAGATAGGTTTTTAAAAAAGTTGAAACCTTTGATATTTAGTAAAAGTTATTGTGCAAGATATAAAAGCAAAAATGCAATATTAGGATTTGTATCTATTCTATAAAAGAGAACCTTAGGACATTTCTCCCTACCTCTGAATGACATGCTTTTTAATTATAGTACCCAAATTAGGTTTTATCTTTTTTAAAGGGGCTGCATTTCTTCTCTAATTCTAGGTGCCAATGGGTCATGTTTGGTTAGAAGGTGATAATCTACAGAATTCTACAGATTCCAGATACTATGGACCTATTCCATATGGACTAATAAGAGGACGAATCTTCTTTAAGGTACCATTTTCTGCTTAAAATGTAAGGTTTATTTTCTGAGCTAGAAAAAAAGTTTCTCTCAAAATGATCTCTGAAATCTTCAGACTGTCAGTGTACTTAACTGTTGCACTGAATATATTTTATGAACCTGTTGGCTTTAACTTAATAGCCATATGTAGACTTATTCCCCCATTGCCCCGGCTCCCATAGAGATAATAATAAAATTCAAACTACCTTAGCTATAGCCTAAGAAAACTTTAATTTGAATTTCCAAAAATTCAGTTCTCTCTTGTACAACTCTTAAAACCATGTTCACATCCTGCGCAGGGCATATTTTAATAAGCATGTGCAGAAGAACGGTCTGGATTCAAACTGCCTGTAATGTATGGATACCCCAGTTGAGTAGTATGAGTCAGTAGACTTATCGTGAATGTGTGATTGTTAGGGAAGATTATTGTTTTCACTGGCCCCTCCTTTTTATCACAGTCAGTGAGGAGAAAAACATACATGAATACATGGAGCTGTTAGGTAATTTACCAGGTTGTTTACATTTAAACACATGCCATATTCAAGTACTTAAATCTAAACCCCTTTGGTTGAAAGTATACAGTTAACTCTTATTTACGAGTAGTAAAAGAAAACACAGACCATATATTCATACATATGTATTCACACACCACACACATATAATTTCGTGTACAATGTTTGAATGTTCCAAACTTTGGAGTTTAAACATATATATACATGTTTATTTTCTCAAATCTTACTTTGATGTGGAAAAGTTTATTCTTGATTGATGAGTAAGGAGAAAGTGCTTATCTGGCATAGAGAAAAGGGATGGATAGCAAAAGGGAATATGATGATACTATAACATTACTTTCACTAATTGTCTTCAACCTCATTTTGGTTTTACAGATTTGGCCTCTGAGTGATTTTGGATTTTTACGTGCCAGCCCTAATGGCTACAGATTTTCTGATGATTAGTAATCATTTATTCTTTTGACTTGATTATTGTCTCCTTTTCATGTGAATTTATTACTCCCGTTGAAACCATGTACTAATAAACTATTTGCTATTCAGTTTTAGTTGTTTTTTATTGTTAAATGTAAAGAATATTCAACACACATTCTGTTAGTTCTGTTAGTTCAAAATATATAGATGAAAATGTAACCCAAAAAGGTCATCTAAATTTTATGATACAAAAATACTTTGGGAGGGGGAACCAGGATGACTACCTCACTTTTGAATTCTTGTTCTTATAGGTGTAATGAAACTAATCTATTCTTCTTAAATATGCCTCATACTTTAGCAGCTACATTTACAAGTCAGAGTAGTAACTATTTGTATTTATAAGTTCAACCTGACAATGCCAGGTTTGATAAAAAGCTGCTAGTCTACATGCTCAGCCCACTCATTTGAAATTAAGTAAAAATGTTTCTAAAGGATCCCTTAAAGTTCTTTAAATGAGTTCTGACTTCTATTGTACACAAAATATTAAATACATAGAAAAATGCATCTTTAAGTCATATGCCATCTATCGTTGGCTATAGTCAATAATACTTTATAAAAGTGCATTTCATCAGAGCAGCAGTGCAATGGCTCCATCTTCATAAATATAGGCATTAATACTACATCTTTTTTTTTTTTTTTGAGACAGAGTCTTGCTGCAGTGCAGTGGCACAACCTCTGCTCACTGCAGTGTCTCCCTCCTGGGTTCAGGCGATTCTTGTGCCTCAGCCTCCCGAGTAGCTAGGACCAGAGGCACGCACCAACATGACTGGCTAATTTTTTAAAAAATTATTTTTAGTAGATATGGGGTTTCACCATGTTGGCCAGGCTGGTCTTGAACTCCTGACCAAAGGTGATCTGCCTGCCTTAGTCTCCCAAAGTGCTGGGATTACAGATGTGAGCCACTATGCCTGGCCCCAGTATTATATCTTAACACTCCAAAATAGAAAGAGAAATAATGCACCAATTTCAAATCATTATTTTTTTAAAAAGCTTCTGGCCAGGCACGGTGGCTCACGCCTGCAATCCCAGCACTTTGGGAGGTTGACACGGATGGATCATTTGAGGCCAGGAGTTCGAGACCAGCCTGGCCAACATGATGAAATCCTGTCTCTACTGACAAAACTTAGGCCAGGCATGGTGACTCACACCTGTAATCCTAGCACTTTGGGAGGTCGAGGCAGGTGGATCACCTGAGGTCAGGAGTTTGAGACCAGCCTGGCCAACATGGTGGAACCCCATCTCTACTAAAAATATAAGAATTAGCTGGGCATGGTGGTGGGCACATGTAATTCAGCTACTTGCGAGGCTAAGGCTGGAGAATCACTTGAACCCAGGAGACGGAGGTTACAGGGACCCGAGATCATGCCACTGCACTCCAGCTGGGGCAATGGAGTGAGACTCTCAGAAAAAGAAATAAAAATTAAAATTAAAAAATAAAGCTTCCATTTCCTAAATTACATTTAAATTTGAAGATGGCAGTGTTTACAAGCTTTGGAAATACAGGGCCAAGATTGGAGTCAACACTTTCTATAGTTGCCACTTTGTCTTCATTAACTTTGAAATAACCTTATGAATATCCATAACCAGCCTTCCTTATGGGAGAACTGGCCTCACATTACTCACAAAGATTATAGGTGTACAACAGGCCTATAACTTTAGCAACTATAAACATTATCTGTTAGATCAGAAACTTATTAACTATAAAGGAATATGATGATACTGTTGCCCACTCAAAAGAGGAGACATGCTCATATTAAGAAAATTCTTATTTTGTGTCATGGAAGAAAAAATGGCATCATAAAGTTCTCAGAATTCACCAAATCAAATCCTTTTTTGTGACAACTTGTAAATATAAATTATAAATACAAATAAATAATTATATTCATTCTCTATTAATCTGAGGTGGTCTCTGCTTGATAATTATATATTTTCTTTGCAAATAATAGGGCTGACAAAAAATCCATTTCCTTGAATGGACAAAGCCCAATGGCCTCTCCTCATCATGTCTCAATACCACAGTTAAAGCATTTCAAGTTGTGAACAATTTTAGTTATAATGAAGCAGTTCTATAATTAATGAACATGTATCACAAGAAATCAGGCTAACTTCTTCTGCTTCATCTTTGGAAACACTGTATTTTCCACCACATCTGCAACTCAGATAGAAAGAGTGATCATCTGCAAAAGAAAACAAAATAATGTTTCAAAGACTTGTAAATAACTATCTCACTAATACCCTTAAAAGGTGCAGAGTTTATTCCACAGAAATTGTAAAACAAAACAAAGAAGCTCAGTAAAGATAAAATGTATTTAAAGGAGAACTAGATTTCTTGAAAGGGGCAATGTTTATAAAAATTACCTACCAAAGAATCTTTCTCTGTAGAGGAGAGGGATTGAAGCTATGAATTAAAAGTCCAAGGATTTTGGGAGGAGAGGGCATGCTCAGAAGCAACCCATGAAACTTATTTGAAGTTTTCTGTTTTCTTAAAATTCATATAAATTTTACATTTTTCTCAACAATGTATTTGTCTAAAATATTACAGTGAAGGAAAAAGAAAAACAGCCCTACCTGTCTCACTGTTAGGGAAGATGATGCTTTTGCCTGAAGTCTATTCTTTAGAAAAAACCAGACTATTTATCAAGTGCAACATCTGGACACCTCTAGTGTCACACTATTTCAAGAATCTTAAGTCTATAAACACAACACCATGGTTTTTGGTTGTTTTTTTTTTAATCCTGTGAGGTATGTGTGTGTTTCTGTTTGTTTGATTTTTACAAATGACACATGAACCAACAAAATGCTGAAGTTAGATGCCCAAAGGAGGCAATACAGTGCAATACTTAGGCTCCTAATCGTGGAAATTTTAAGTGTGTCATTTTCCTGGGAAGTTGAAATGCTTGTGCCCTTTGACTTAAAGAATCTCTGATCCATTGGTCATTCCATTTTACTGTCTCTGAGAAGTAACTGTCAAAGGAAAATAACTTATCAATCACATTATTTTACCACCATCATAATTGATTATTAGAAAATAAGTCTCAAAGGACTCATGATTTCATACAATCAAATATCTTCATTCAATTATCAAATTTGATTAATACTTAGATCATATCATATGTAGTTTAAAAAAGCAAAATTCAACTGCCTTGTACCTGCTCTCTTACAAGTTCAGCCTTGGAAAAACTGGCAATTAAATAAGCTAACTTTATGTGTTTTCTTTTTTAATCAGTAAGGAAAATGAATTCATTCACCTAATCCAGCTTTTTTTTCTTTACCACAATGCCTTTGTTCTCCATACAGAAAAATAATTTAATCTTGAATTCAAAATGCAGACATCTTCCCTAAGCCAACATCTACGTACTAGAGCATGTTCTGAAAGTGAATTTTTTAATTATTAAATTGTCTAAAAATGTACGTATTCTAACCATTGATTTTCCTAAGCTAAATCTCCCCCTACCCCCTTGTTTTTTTACCACCTCAGTGAACACTGGAAAACAATTTGAGTTGACATGTTCTTGGTAAATGACACAGAGGACACCATGGGCTACTGTGGAGTTTTGTCATAGATGACTCCAAATAATGCTCACTAAAAATTCACATCTTGTAAAAGTTCTATTATTATTATACCATCAAGCTTTTAACCAGGTGATAACTTTTACAGAAACCATCATTTTAAATACTCTGAATGACGGCCAACAAAATGACCAAGCCGTATAATGACTAAGGGTGAAGATTAGCTTCAATATCTGCACAACTCACATACGCCTTTTAAGCATAATAAAAAGGATCATTTCATACTGCCCTTTGATCAGGCAACCAACAATTTGGCTGTGTCTATCCTATAGGGTTTCATGAACTTTTCTCCTGTTTCAGATCTTCACTTTCCACAGCTATTCAGAAAATGATCCTAAAGGGGATCTTTAAACAAATTTTTCCTTTCCTAGTTGATCACACTTTTTATTTAATTTCATCTGCCAAAATTTCTCTTTTTAATTGGGAAAAAAAAATCAAAACTTCCATGATTTGTTTTTAAATATTCCTACAAGAATAATGGTTTCATGTAGCTCTTGCTTGGTATTTTCTCTCATTAAGATTAGAATTATTTCCATCTTTAGTTATAAAAACCTAAGCGTCTAAGTGCATCCTATACTTTTAAGATTAACTATCTGCTTATTACTAATTCATTGGCTATGGGTTGGATTCTTCTATATCTTCTTTACTGTCAAGTTTACTTTAGGGAGTTCCAGGGGCAATAACACATTGATGATAACGCTTGATGATTTTTTGTTGTACATTTCCTTCTATATGTTAGCATTTTCACTTGTATCAGAAAGTCCATGTATTTATTGACCAGACAGATGCTTAAGCCACTAATCCATATTATGTTTCTTCCTTTTCTTTTTAAAAGTTTATATGTGTGTATATATATATATACACACACACATATATATATATAATTTTTTGTACACATGTGGTCTTGCTATTTTTTTGCTTTGTTTTGTTTTTATTTTTTATTTTTCCTATTCTCACAATCTGTTCTCAGAGTCTTCCTATGTTGCCCAGGCTGGTCTCAAACTCCTGACCTCTGTGATTCTCCAAACTCAGACTCCCAAAGTGCTGGGATTCCAGGCTCCCAGCCCGTATTCTCATGTTAAATTAAGATCTTAACATTATATTGTTATATATTTAAAAGGGAAAAAAAATTATACAAACCATTTTTCAGTATTTTCACATTATCATATAAAATATATTACCCATATCGACTATAGCAAGAACTAATTTAATAAGACATTAAACACATACAAACATACATATACATACCAATTGATAAGGAGACAAACTATATTTTCAAAACATACTTAGTCTCCTTGAAGTCTGTGTATTTGGAAAAAAATAAAAAGTGTATGTGTATATATACATATGTGCATATATATTGTTTTAGTTAGGCAAGTCTCCCTGATAAATGACATGTTCTAGAGTGTCCCTTCCACAAACTAGCAGTGAAAAGTCTGTGTCACTAGTGTATTGTTTTCACAGTATTTCTTCCTGTTTACTCTAAAGAGGCTGTCACCATCACTAGGAGCCCCAGTTATACAAAACCTCAACTTTACCAATGATTCACTGAATTTCTACTCTAGGATTTCACTTGAGGGGTTGGGGGCAGAATGGTCCCAGAGGCAAAGATGTGATTCCCTTTCTAAGTTAATATGGCTTGTGACCCACATCTTAGGGGCACTAAGTTAAGAATTTGCCATTTAAAAAGTAAATTTGGTTTCAGATGGCTCTGTTTTTATCTTCTACCTATCCACACTCATTAGTAGATTTTTATAAACCTTGAGGGAATTTGTACTTCATGCTGCACAATAAGGTTAAAGGGTTAAGAGTATCTAAAGATTCTAGGAAATGGTAAGATTTTCTTCATTTACCCAGAGAAACAAGTAAGTATGGTACTCATGGCTTCCGTTTAGTAAAGGGTGTTTCCCAATTTAATGATGTCTAACCAGAACAATTCAAGGAACCATCAGAAGAATGGGGAAACTACATTGGATTTAAGTTCTAAAATTTTAATAACAGAAAAGCAAAAAAGACATGACTTCGTGTTGTATCAAGGGAAATGGCAGATATTCTTTTCTTCCTACAAGACAATCAGTATGTGAGAGTTAAAAAAAAAGCCTCTTAAAAGCCCTGCCCTGACAGTTTATGATTATATATAAAGGGAAAATAAAAATTCTAAGAGGAATTCATCTTGTCAACATTAAAAGGAATGAAAAAAAAACTATCTTGTTTGACATTATTTACCATATTACAATATTACATAGACAGTAATGCAAAAACTGAAGTAAAAAACACGACAAAAAACTCTTATGAAACTTTATGTTCCTAACATCTAATTAGAATATAAAAATAACTGGAAATGAGTCACATAGGAGGATATCAGTCAATAAATAAAGTTTAGAATTAAACAGAAATACTCCAAACAGAAATACCACATATATGTAGAAAGCCACACTATTATTTCTTTTTAAGATTTCCAAATGTCCAATGAGTTTTTTTTTTCTTATAGAAAATTCCTAATTTTTTTAATGTTGTCAGAAGAAAAAAAAAAATTCCAACCTTCATTCCAAGACATTTCTTCAAGATATACTTGAGCATCTACTGGTCCTATATTTCTTAGATCATCTTCTGTAAAATATAAAACATGACACTTAATTGTAAAGCATGATACTTTAGTTGTAACCTTGAAGAATGCTAAAAAGGCAACGCCAGCCTGGTCACTACAATTCTAACTTACCTATCACTTAAAAATTTAGCCTAGTACTTTTGACAGTAGTGTTAAAGTAACCTGACTTTAGCTGACTGAAAAATCTAGAACATACCACTTCTTATACATTTTAAGTCAAAATCAATCCCATTTTTCACAACCATGCAACATGGAAAAGCATGAAGTTAATTCTGGTGATTCTTTGCAATCAACTAGTGACTTCTATTTTGTAAGCAGTAGGGAAATGTATTTTGTTTGTTTGGCTTTTGTCAGATAAACTAGCTAAGAAAGCAGTGTGGAGTTGGATAAAAATAACTATCTGAACCTTAGTTGTAATATTTTACTAACTTTCTAACATTAGGTGTATCGGTTAGTTCATCTCTAAAACAGCAGTTATGTCTTCTTTTCTGCTTCAGGAGGGTTGCTGTTGACTGAATTGTGTCCCCCTCAAATTAATATGTTGAAGCCTTAACCCATAATTTGACTGTTCTTAGACATAGAGCTTTTAGGAGGTAATTAAGGTTAAATGGAGTCATAAAAGTGGGGTTCTAATCCAGTAGGAGTGGTGGCCTTAAAGGGAAGGGATTAGAGAACGATCTCTTTCCACATGCACCCACACATACAGGAAGGAGCATATGAAGGCACAGCAAGAAGGAGGCTGTCTGCAAGCCAGGAAAACAGCCCTCATCAGAAACCGAGTGAACCAGCACCTCGATCTTGGACTTGCTAGCCTCCAGAACTGTGAGAAATACATTTTGTTTATGCCACCCAGTCTATGGTACTTTGTTATGGCAGCTGAGGCAGACTAATAGAAAGGTGTTCTCCATGTCAAATGAGATCAGACTAAAAGTGCTTTAAAAAATACTGCTGTATCCAAATGTAAAAGGCTATTAATCATTTTACATTTGATTGTTTGCAAGAGATTAAGTAACTTAAAGGAATATTTATTTCAGTATTTCAGTAACCCCACAACACAAATGTATTGTGTTGATGTTCTATTGCTGTTTCCTGGTCCAAAGTTTTTGTTGCAGACTAAAGGTCCGAGGAAGCCTGGAATTCCACCTACAGTTTGTAACAGGAGCATCTACTCTCTTGCTTAAAACAAGTGTTCTTTGGGTCAAAAATGGCAGCCAAAGATGGGAAGCATTTGTCTTTGTTTTAAAAGGCATGTTATATTTCCTGTATGCTTGTATTGTTGTTCTAGAAGTAAATAATTTAAAAAAAGAAGAAAAAAGAAAAACAAAACAAAACAAAAAACCCTACTAAAATCCACTCCCCACCCCAATAAAATTTTCTTTAGCTGTCTCACTAGTCTCTTGTTCACTTGCTGAAAATGCTTCCCTTTGTTCTGTGATGTGAATGCCCTCAATTTAATTATATTTAGTAACTGCCTGTTCAAAATTGATTAGTGAGTTACATAATTTTAAAATAGATAAAAAGGTTATACAATATTGTGAACTCACCATGGTTTTCTATTAAAGTATGTCAGGTATTATACCACTTCATATTTACTGGGTACCAGTAGTCTATTAGACTGTCCCTAAAATCCAAAGATAAGGATTCTGCCTAGTGGTCAGAGATAGTTCCTCCATCTCTGTATGTCTACTGAATAGCTTATGCAGAATCTATCTGTATGCTAAGTAATTTCTGAACAAAACAATTTAATTCCACACTCTATGTAAAGTACAGTAGGCTATATGCTATTCAGATATTCCTAATTTTAAAAAATTCTATCTAAAATTCTCATGAGTGGGGACAAAAATCTTAATCACATTTTCATTTCTTACTCAGAAGGACCAGGGTTGTTTGCTAGAATTGGGAGATTAAACAGTTTCAGATTTGAGGAATGGGGGTAATAACTGGCATTTAACAAATCCTATTTAGGGGAAAAACAGGTATACATTTCTAACGAAGCCACCTGTATTCCAGGGTATCTTATAGACATTTTAAGAAATTTTGAAATCAATCAAAGCAAATCAGACAAGACAGAAATAATGACAAGATGAATCAGCTTTCTTAATCTAACCTATCTTGAACCCCTGTAATATATTAATTGTACAAAAAGAACCCATTCATATATATTCCATGATGCCATTTTTTATTTAAAAATAATAAATTAGAAATGACTTGCAAATATAACTGCCAATCTACTGGGAAGCTATTGTTCTTCACACATAGTTACTATTTCATGTGCAACCCTTTCTATTATTCTACCTACTCAAAAAAGTGGCCTTTTCAGTTTTATTACTATGTTTTCTTCATCTCTATGCATAGGAACTTTAGAGTAGCTACCTATTTCTTGGTTGAAAAGTTAGCTTAGACCATATCTCATGGTAAATATGAAAAGAGAATACACAAAAATGGTTAGTACCTTGCCCAAGAGTATATTAAAACATTTTCATATTCTGTGGCTGTTTAAACATCTGTATGTTGACCTGATTATTCAGTACCATGGGCACAAACAGCCCAGGTTCCTATAGGGATTCTGGTTTTAAAAAACTAGTATCTGACAAAAAATATAACACACTGTATGATTACCCGTTACACAAAATGTAACTGGCAAAACTACCCTATGATGGTGGGGGAAATGAGGAGTTAGTGGTAACTGGAAGAAGTCATAAGAGGCTTTCTGGGTCAGACACTGTGGCTCACGCCTGTAATCCCAGCACTTTGGGAGGCCGAGGCAGGTGGATCACCTGAGGTCAGGAGTTTGAGACCAGCCTGACCAATATGGTGGAACCCCATCTCTACTAAAAATACAAAAATTAGCCAGGCATGGTGGTGTGCGCCTGTAGTCCTAGCTACTAGGGAGGCTGAGACGGGAGAAATGCTTGAACCCAGGAGGCAGAGGTTGCAGTGAGCCGAGATCGCACCATTGCACTCCAGCCTGGGTGACACAGTGAGACTCCATCTCAAAAAACAGACAAAAAAACAAAACCAGAGGCTTTCTGGTTAAATGGGTGTGTTCACTGTGAAATCCATCAAGCTATACACTTAGATTTATGCACTTCTCTGTAAGGATTCAATTTTTAAAAGTTTTAAAGGTAGTATGTTGAGACTCTAAGTGGCTACATTTTTAAATAGAAATAAGAAAAGGAGAAAGAAGAAACTCAAGAAGGTGTATATTCTTTGAAAGGATGGTAATCTAACAATTTCTGAAAAAGGCGAGGGGTGATTAACTCGGGAAAATTGGATCCCTGGAGAACTGTATAATGAGCAGACGTGGTACACACAAGTAAAAGGTGAATCTAAATGTGGGCGGTGGGGGGTGACCAAGATCCTTTGTTGAGAGGCAGGTGTCCAGGGATGGGGCAACAGCAAATTCCCTCTCCTCAAACCCCACTACAATTACAAAGAAGGAGCACAAACAAATCAATGTTTTTTTTCTTTTTAAACAATGATCTCTGCTTGTCCACCATTGTGGTTATAATTAAAAAACTTAATTCTTCCCCATCCTCTAAAGTAACTTACAGGAACCCTGTAATTAGCTTTAATAATTGTCCACTAATCAGGCATGGCATTTTCAAAACAGATAAGTTAGTTTTCTTTTGTAGTATTACATAAATATTTTTCTCTTGTAATAAAACATTTTAATAGGTATCTAGAAAGGTAAATCCTATCTCCTAAAGTTCCCCTGTTAACATGACACTACTAAAAGGCTTGAGAAAACAAAAACTGATTTAGAGAGTGATTTAATTAAATGAACAGATCCAAGATATTAAATTTGGAATTTTTGATATAGAATGGTAGTAAGCATTTTGAAACAAAATACAGCCATTTGGAAATAAAAAGCATTGTCTAGCATGTGGTATACTCTTATAGTGAGTCCAGTGATACTAAATGATTGCTGATTCTTTTGAAGTAAATGGGTTCAACTTTTTCTAAGGTATCTAGGAACATTAAGGTCTGTTCATACCCTGTGCTGTGCTCACAAGCTTAGCCAAATATGGAAACAAGAAAAACTTCCAAATCTATTTACATACAGAAGTCAGTACATTATAAAGAGAGGTTCTTGAGAAATCTAATGTTAAAATCAAATAATGTATGTGCTTACTTGAAAAAGAATCTTTCAACCTTTAGAAGTATAGGCCCTTCTGACCTTGTGTTCTATTGGATTTGTCTGACAACAAGAGGTGAAAGAATTCTGTGGCTCCATTGTCTCAACAGTGGGATCTAAGAAAACACTGGCAGGACTCATCAGAGAGGTTTATGAGCCTGCAATTCAAAGAGATTAAAAGGGAAATCTACGGAGATTCTTTCACACTGAAGAATAACATTAAATAACTATTAGCAGCTTGGTTCAGTAAAGCTTACTAGAGCTCTCGCTGGGTCATTCACAACTTTCTAAAAGAGGAAAGGTTTTTTTTCAGCTCCATTTGGGAATCAATAAATATTTCTTACTTCTTACAAGACAATGGAATTCCTGTCTTTTTAAGCTTCCTTCTAATGATAGTAAAATTTCTAAAACAACTCTTTGTTTCATGCCTAAATAATTACACATCCTAATCCCAGGAAACCTTTTCTATCTGTAGTTACAATTTAAAAAATAAAGTAAAAATAAAAAATAAATAACAGCAACAAAAAACTACAGGGGAGAGAAATTTAACTTTATTCATGATGGCAGAGATATTTCAAAGTCTCATCCAACCCCATACTGGCCAAAAGATCAAATCCACCTGCAGCTCTGTCCATATTACTCATGTGTGGCAGTGCCACGCTATTCACATGATCACCACATCCCCACCATGCTCTCATTTAGCAATTAGTCCGCTGTGTTTATTTTTAGGCTATTTCAAGTGTTTAAAGTTTATTTCACACTTAAAGACATTGGTGTGTAAGTTAAAAATAAACAGCAGTTTTTCCTTTAGGTCTAATTGAGTATCTTGCTGTCTTAAAACCAAGTAATTTAATTTTAAACCAT